CAAACTAAAAGCACAATAAAATACAAGGGGGAAAAACCACCAACATTCAGCATACAGTGAAACACAACCAGCATATGGTGAGAAATCACAAAATACTCAACGTATCTGTATTTCATTAACACTAAAAGGGGAAATCACCCATATGTATGCTGCTTTCATTTGAAATCCGATCTCAGATTAGGTATGCAATTAGTATTAGGCTCTCTGTGTGAGCTTCCAGTGCATTTTTAAAAAAATAACCCTCACTAAAATATTCTAAAAACTGAATATAGTGCAAATCTGGCATAAAATGAGAACACGCTTTTCAGAAATAAGAAATCTGATGTTCATGCACCTTCATATCCACCAAGATTACTTTGCTGCTGCCTAACACAGATCTATTGTATAAATGAGCAATATGAATTCAGTAGCATCCTCTAATGCCCAAGTTTCCTAATTTAATTTTAATGAAATTTTCCATATGGGTTTTCACAAGCAGTATCTTCTTTGACAGATTAATTATTAACACTGCTAGGAACATAAGTGCCCAGCATCCTATAACTATATTGGTAATAACTGGTTTCCCAACATCTTTCCTCCCTCTAAAGGAGTACCAAATTGATCCTTAAAGACTGCCCTCTAGCCACCTTTATTCTCCAAAGGATGCTATGAACAACATGAATCCTGTCCAGAGCACATTAAAATACAACAAAAAAGCAGATGCTTTCAAGTATGGAAAGATAGGTCATTGTTTCTCTGCTTGAACCAATACATAGCTTGCTCAGATGCTTAATTGGCAAAATAGGATACACAACAAGCAAGAAGCAAAGCTACCCACGTCAGTTTTCAAAATGACCTATTTCCCTAACACCTGGCAAAGTGAATATGAATTTATTCTCCTTCCCACTCATTTGGGAAAGTGTTGGCTTCATCTCAAGCTGTCTTGAAGCTGAAATTGTTACAATAGAATTGTTTCTTTGTAAATAGAATCAGTAAAATTCTTTGTACTGATGCTTGGATAGCTGTGATTTGTTTCGGCTCCTTCAGCTGAAATTTTTTATCAAAGCTTTCTGCAGAGCCAGCCAATTGTGATTGTTTGATTGATTTATTATGGCCATCACATCAATATTAACTGAAGATTCAGAATGGAGATCTGTCCCATATCCACTCTGAATCAAGTTCATCTACACTGTTGCTGATTGTCCTTCTCCATCATAATGAACGCAGCATCCAGGAATGAGTTGTCTCGTCTATCGGCCAATGCATCTCAGAAACTCCTAGTAGGAAATCATTTCCAGGAGAATGACTTATAACCTTGATATTTCTGGATTGCTAACTAGGTTCATACCTAATTAATGTTTTAAATTCAGCCAAGACAAGTTTTGGTGTATTCGGGTCTTTTCCCATGTAAGATTGAGTGTATCTTGGCGACGTTTCGACAAGGTCCCACTCATTATCTTCAGGCGGGTGCTTTCAGCTTCGTATCTGTGTGAGCAAAGCATGATCGGAGCTGCCGTCTCTCTTTAAATACTGGTGGGGAGGTATGGGGTGTTGGCTTTGTTGCTGTGAGCAGGTTGGTTGCCTGTGTTATTACAACTTGATTGGTTGATGTAGTTGATGTTTGCAGATTAGTCGGCTGTTTTGTAACATCCTCTGTGGGTGGGGTCCTTGATGTGTGCCCATTAGTCTTTTGTGTTTGAATGCGACCACATGTTTGTTGGACCCGTGCCTCACCTGGTTAGTGCTGGCTTCCCAGGAGGTGACGTGAGGCTGGCTCCAGGGGATTATAAATGCTTCATTGGGTGAGGGTGTCTTTCCCACCGCCTTGAAAGAGGCGGTGGTGAGACCTCTCCTCAAGAAGCCTTCCCTGGACCCAGCAGTATTGGCTAACTATTGTCCAGTCTCCAACTTTCGCTTTGTGTGAAGGTTGTTGAGAGTGTGGTTGCGCGACAGCTTCCCCAGTACCTGGATGAAACGACGTATCTAGATCCATTCCAGTCGGGCTTCAGGCCTGGGTACAGCATGGAAACGGCATTGGTTGCATTGGTGGATGATCTCTGGAGGGCTCGGGACAGGGGGTGCTCCTCGGTCCTGGTCCTGTTAGATCTCTCAGCGGCTTTTGATACCATCGACCATGGTATCATGCTGCACCAGTTGGAAGAGTTGGGGGTGGGAGGCACCGTACTAAGACGTAGTCCTCCTTTCTCTCCGACCGGTGCGCAGTCTGTGTTGACAGGGGGGCAGAGGTCAACCCCGAGGCCCCTCATATGTGGGGTGCCACAAGGGTCGGTCCTTTTGTTCAACATTTATGTAAAGCCGCTGGGCGAGATCATCCTTGGTTTTGGGGTGAAGTACCACCAGTACGCTGATGACACCCAGCTGTATATCTCCACCCTGGACCACCCCAACGATGCCCTCAAGTGATGTCCCGGTGTCTGGAGGCCATGTGGATCTGGATGGGGAGGAACAGGCTCAGGCTCAACCCATCCAAGACCGAGTGGCTGTGGTTTCCAACGTCCCGATATAGTCAGCTGGTGGTCTTCCGAGTGCGCTTCAAGATTTTGGTTATCACCTTTAGAGCACTCCATGGCTTAGGACTTGGTTATTTATGGGACCGCCTGCTACTGCCAATAGCCTCCCACCGACCAGTACGCTCCCATAGAGAAGGGCTCCTCCGGGTGCTGTTGGCCAAACAATGTCGACTGGCGGCCCCCAGGGGGAGAGCCTTCTCTGTGGGGGCACCTACTATCTGGAACGAGCTCCCCCCAGAGATACGGAGGATCCCGGATCTGCGTACCTTCCGTCGCGCACTGAAGACTTTCCTATTTCATCAAGCTGGCCTGACCTAAGTCTCTCCCCTTTTTAAATGGAAATTTAAAATTTGGTTTTAAATTATTGGGGTTTTAAATTTGTTCAGCCAAATTATTTAATTTGTTTTATTCTATTTTAAATTTTGTATTTATATGTTTTTATTCTATGGCTGTTCACCGCCCTGAGTCCTTCGGAAGTAGGGCGGTATACAAATTCAATAAAATAAATAAATAAATAAATAAATAAAATGACCTGGGTAATGGGCTGTGTGTTAACGTCCTGAGTTCTAGTGTTGTGACATCCTGAGTTTTTTTGATGTAATGTCCTGAGCAGATGGCTGTGGTGCCAGAGCCAGGGCTTTAGTTTGGCTCCAAGTTTGAGGTCTTGCCATGTGTTCATGGTGTGTGTCAGTTTGCTTTGTGTGGGGATCGGAGGGGGGTGCAGCAGCTGGTGATGCCGCCGTAGTCTGGCTTCTGGATGGTGGTTGTAGTTCGTCTATGGGATGGGTTTGGGTTTGAATCTGGTGAAGATGATTTGTTGTGGTGTCATGTGTTATCTTGGGTCCAGTGTTAATCTTTGTGGCAGGGACTCTTCTGTCGACTAGGACTTTCCAGATGTCCGGTAGGTGGGAGGTATCGTCATGTCTGGAAACTAGCCCTAGTCAACAGAAGAGTCCCAGCCACGAAGATTAACACCAGACCCAAGATAACACATGACACCACCACAAATCATCCTCACCAGATATATATATTTGTTTTCTTTTCGTAGGCCTTTATGTGTATTTCTCTTTAGCTAGGTTCTTCCTACATAAACCAAGATTTTTATGCAGCCCTAGTTCAGTGAAATCACAATCCACTAGTTTCTAGGCTTTTTTTCAGGCATCCAGCAAGCACCCTGCTGCCCATTGGGAGACCACAATCACTTAAGTATGAGCCAACAGTGTGCTGCAGCTACCAAAAAAAGCCCAACACAGTTCTAGGCTGCATTAACTGAAGGATAGAATCAGGATTACATGAAGTGTTAATACCACTTTATAATGCCTGAGAGGAGGTTGGACTAGAAGACCTCCAAGGTCCCTTCCAACTCTGTTTGTCTGTTATCATTTGATAAACCAATTGTTTGCTGTTAGAACTAGAATATATTTCCTAATTGGGGTGACATATTTTCCTGCATCAATATTTAACTACCTGCATAGTTGAAATCATAGTTATGTAGTCTGAGATAAAAGCAGTTTAGTGTCTGAATTTGAGAAAAAATGTGGGAAAAGCAAAGAGTTTGAATGTTTCTGGACCTGGTGCAAGTTGTGTTGGAAGCTAAGGAGATACATCATGTTATATTGAGATCCATATTGTTGCTTTGAAAATCCATTTCTTCTGTATTTGAAGTTGTTTTTACTAGGGTCTGCTTATATATAGGCAGTTCAAATTTTCAGAGAAGCCATGTATTTCTAATGCACTTTCATCAAAGGAAACCAAATTCCTTATATCTCTGTATTTCATACAGTCAGACAAATGAGGGACCAATGAGTAAGATACTTGTTTCTGTTCTAAATAAGAAGAAATTTTTAGATTGACAAAGATTAATAGCATATGATAGATGCATATATGAAAAGAGAGATTTAGTTGACACACTGCATGAGCTGATTCCATTATTATTAGAAAATTATGAAATACAGTGTACAGGTATGACAGAAAGAGAACTATTAGTCAGATGGCTCTCTGACACTCAAGTGCTTAATCAAACCCCAGTGAAATCAAATGGATTATATTCAAATAGGTATTTTTTTTTAGATCATACTCTGCTTGACAGCTCTGCAGTTTGAAATGCTAAAATCCGTTGAGAAATGCTGAAGTTATATGTCATATTCTAGACAAATATATTACATTTTGTAACAAATCAATTTGTCATTATGTAGTCCAGCAGATGAAAGGTTACAAAATTTGACTTTTAGCTTACAATACCTTCCATTCTTTATATTTAAAAATCATATTTTTGGATAAATTTTTTAAAAAATCCAATGTCCATAAAACGATAAACTTAGAAGGTGGGAATTTTGCAAATTACTATTCAATATATATGGAGAACACCAGACAGGGGAAGGCTACAATAGGCCTATTTCCTAAATATACATATGTCTTCTGAATACTTATGAACATACATTAATAGTATTGTTTACTGTGCAATTGAGCAACTGTTTCTTTAATTTACAGGCGATGCATGTGACTCTAATCCTTGTGAAAATGGAGGCATCTGTGTGTCTGGTTTGGATGGTTTCTATACTTGCGAATGTCCTGATGGCATCACAGATTCCAATTGTTCTAATGTTATGGAGGTTGGTAAGTGCAAATAAACAAAACAGAAAAAAAGTTAATATGGATTGTTATTTTCTAAAATATTAAAGTACAAAGTTTCCTAATCCTTCTTGCAATAATTAATCCATGATCTTCACTCCAAATGGTTTAATTTTAATCTTTGTTTACTGACTTCATATTTTCCTACACTGTCTTACTGGTTTGATCACAGTGTGCATCATTTTAACAAATCTGATAACAATTTGAAATAATCAAGATATGGGTCTTATTCAGTAGTGGGTTTCAATTTTGTTTGCTACTGGTTTGCCCATGGGTGCGCGTGTGTGCACACACAATGCTTCTGCATATGCATAGAGACGTCCGGGCAGGTGGGCAGAGCCTCCTGTTGCTGCTGCTACTGGTTTGCCCGATCTGGGGTGAACTGGTAGCAACCCACCACTGGTCTTATTAATATGACCTGAATAGGTAGCACATACATGAAGTATGGTGATGCCTTCATCACCAGACTACAAAAAAGATTCATGCAGATTTTACAAGGAAGCCTAAAATACTGTTTTGAGAATGCTACCAATGACCTTCTAGGTGGAAGTTAGTTTTATTGGCTTCACCTGGATGGCATAATGTGCAGTGGGGCCTTTAGTGTATTTCAAAAAAACCATACATGTTACTCAGATTACAAATAATCTGGAGCCTGCAGGCAGTACCACATTTAAAAATATATATTTTAACCTTTTTTCATATCTATGTCCAGTGGATGGAAATAAGCTTTCATGGGCCAAGAAAGTGAATATTGTATGGTTGGGAGACAAGTGAAGCATTGCAACTAGCCACAGAGAAATAGAAGCCGAAAGAATTACTGCTTCAAAGTTAAATTACACTTGACCAAAGAACTTCCTGGATGCTTGTTTTATTGCAGTGAATTTTAGATCCATTTTTCCAGTTAATAAGGGGGGAAATGAGAAAGCCTTGCTATCTGCCAGTTCTATAAAATCAGCCTGGGACTCCTGAATCAACCTTTCCATCTCATGAATCGTTTGCAGTAAATAAGGTTTCAACAATCTAAAAGAAACAGTGACAACTTTTCCATTATGTTGTTAGTAGCAAGTGTTGCACATTGTGAATGTTATGTATTCACATAACATATGTGAATATACATGAATATACATGTATGTATATTCATTGTGAATATACAGACATCGTCATGTCTGTATATTCTTTTCTCTCTCTCTCTCTCTCTCTCTCTCTCTCTCTCTCTCTCTTGTATATGTTTATCTTAGTTCGTGTGGGCGAACTAAGACTTAGACTTGTACCTATGTAAACTTAGAAGAGCAACAAAGATGATTAGGGGACTGGAGGCTGAAACATATGAAGAACAGTTGCGGGAACAGGGTATGTCTAGTTTAATGAAAAGAAGGACCAGGGGTGACATGATAGCAGTGTTCCAATATCTCAGGGGCTGCCACAAAGAAGAGGGAGTCAAGCTATTCTCCAAAGCACCTGAGGGCAGGATGAGAAGCAATGGGTGGAAACTAATCAAGGAGCTAAGCAATCTAGAACCAAGGAGAAATTTTCTGACAGTTAGAACAATTAATCAGTGGAACAACTTGCCTCCAGAAGTTGTGAATGCTCTGACACTGGAAGTTTTTAAGAAGAGATTAGACAACCATTTGACTGAAGTGATGTAGGATTTCCTGCCTAAGCAGGGGGTTGGACTAGAAGGCCTCCAAGGTCCCTTCCAACTCCATTATTCTATTCTATTCTATTCTATTCTATTCTATTCTATTCTATTCTATTCTAATAAAAAAGATCAGTGGAGTTTACACTGAAGGTTTTCTGTCAGCAAAACTCTTTTCTATTAATGTTCTTGTTATCTGGCTATGAAGGGTTTTCAGAAGAGGCTCAACAGTCAACTCTCAAGGCTGATATAATTGGTTTTCTGATTGAAATTTCTGTCAAAATTACCATGACTTACACCTACCAGTCATTTTAAATGCTGTTTGCTTCCTATGTAGCAAATTGTTATATTTATTTTATGCTGGGTAATGACAATTAAGATTTGGTTTATTTAGATTTGGTGTTTTTACGCATAACAGAAGGTTGAACCAGAGGGTCTCTCTATTTTTTTTCCTATGCCAAATTTGACGGTTCTGTGATTCTATTTCAGCAAATCTAATTTTTTTTTAAAAAAAATCATGGTTTTTATGCCACATTATTGGGGTTAGGGTTTCTCCCTATTTTACACTATTGGAAAAAGAAGTATATGAAGCTGTGATGTCCAAAATATGTTCCAGATTTGTCCTGGATTATCTATCTAAATTTATGTTTCTAGTCTATGGACACCCCTTATTCATTTGATACTCATTTTGTAGGCACATATTTACATAAACCCTTTTCGAAAGCAAATTTCAAATGTCTTTCATTTCAGGCTTCTCCCTCAAGTGCAGTTGGGTTTTGAACATTACATTTTTGTTTGTTTTTTTAATTACAAATTCTACCATAAATTCTTAACAGTTTAGAATTTGCTGTCTTCTGGTATCAATTTGAGGAAGAGTGCGATTTGGTCATATTTCTCTGAAGATTCAGATCAAAGGCATTTTTTTCTCCATGACCATACTACCCTTTCCAAAATATGGAAAAAAGACCAATTTGTGTGTTTCTGTGCTGAATCAGATTCTGTAATTTCAATATAAGCACAAGAACAATGAAGTCAATATCAATCAGTGAACACTATCTCCATAGGCATGAGCACATAAACAAATAAAAGCACTTGCCACATAATTCTAGACCTGAGAATCAGGTAATTATCAATATTTGTTAAAATGGGATTCTGATTACAAAGCTATCAACAGTTAACAAAACTAGGGCAGATGTGCTTTTTTGGAAGAGGGGAAATAGTCTGATTAGGCATTGCTCATGTTTCTATTTTATTTTGGAATTTTTTTTTTTATTTTTTTGTCATCTACTTAACATAAGCGCTCTAACTAGATAAACATTTGGCTGAACAAGATTGGTTTTGCAGATTTAAAAAAAGCAGATATCATCAGGCCCATTTGATTCATTCAAAAATGGCCAAATAGAATGCAATTTAACATGAGAGCCCAAATGCTTTCAAAACAAAGCATTTAATTTTAGCTCCTATTTTTGCTGGCACAAAAAAAGAAATAAGTATCAGCAGCTGCAGTGACTCATTGACACACTGGTTTAGATCATAACAACTGAAAAGTATGGGATCTGTCTTGCTTTAACCAGTGACATCTTTTAGTCTAATATAAATTAATAATATGAATAAATATAAATGAATTTTGGAAAATGATTGTGGATAATTCCAGATAAATTTGTTGCCAAACATTCAATTAATGCATATATTCAGACCTGAATATGCATACACACCACTTATTTCAGTCAGCAATAATATAGAGCTTGATATTTATTAGACATTACACACATTGTTTAAAAAGTTAGCTGGCAAAATAGAACAAGAGTTGGATGAAAGCAGAAAAAGAAATATATGAACCGGTAAAAGTGTATAGTATCTTAAATATCAAGTCACCGTGATTTCCAGAGTCACTAAAAAAACAATGCTGTTGAGTAATTAGTATGGACAGCCCCCCCAAAACAATGACTGTTTTTGCCTTCTCTGTGTTGAGGGTAAAACTGCCCTCTGCAAAGTGGTGCAACGGACCAGACAGCAAATAGATACGTTGCTTAGCAAAACACACAGATACTCACAGACTCTGAACGTTGTAAGAAAATAAACAGTCTTTACTTGTAGTAAAAAAAAACAAACTTGGCTTCTCAAAACAAAGATAACACTTCTTCAAATAATCACGGTTCAACACAAAAACATAGTTTGCTTACAATTCCAGTTCTCTTCAGTAACACAGACACTTTCATTTTTTGAACTCTTTCATTTTTTTGACACTTTCATTTTTTGAACTCCTTTCAGCAGTTCAACCTTTTCATAGCAGGAGCAGAAGTGAATGAACTTCCTGCCTTCTTTTATGTCTGCTTAGCACAGCCAATTAGTCATCTTGTAGCAGTTAAAGTTACAGAACATAGTTTTCTATATATTATCTACCCAACCATAGGATATGCATCCAACATTCTCCCCTTTGGGTAGACTAATATATTTACAATCTTAAACCATACTGTTCACATGTATCTATATGTTTCCTACTTCCCTGTGCTTTTGTGAAATGATCAGCCACATTGTCTTCCGATGCACAATATACAAGTTCTATCATCTTGTTCATTATACATTCTCTTACATTGAGATACCAAAGATCTGTATGTTTTGTTCTAGTCTTTACAGCTATATTTGTCGCCATTTTTATCGCTGCATGATTATCTTCGTATACTATTATAGGATCTTGTATATCTATTCCTAAATCTAGCATCAGCTGCTTAATACTAATCAAATCTCTACATAACAAAGATAAACAAGAAAACTCTGCTTCCATTGTAGACATACTTAAATGCTTCTGTCTTATAGAATGCCACCATATCAAAGATTTTCCCAGAAATATAGCGATCCCTGAGGTTGATTTTCTTGTATTCACATCTGTTGTGAAACTAGCATCTGCATAAGCGGTTACATGTAATTCTTCTGATGGTTGTAGTTATAATGCATGATGCATGATACATTTCAGATATCTAAGAATACATTTTGCTCCTTGCCAGTGTCTTTCTGTAGGTTCCGTGTTGAATCTAGCTAATTGGTTCACGCTATAAGAAATATCAGGTCTAGACCAATTGCTAATGTATGATAAACTGCCAATCAACGATTGATATATCCCTTTATCAAACAACGGACTTTGCACATCAGTGTTGCAATAATCTTGAACCATAGGTGTCTTTGATGGTTTACACAATTCCATTCTGAACTGTTTTAATAGATTATTAATTTTATCAGTTTGGGATAATTTAAATTCTCCCCTAGTTTTTTCGACACTTACACCTAGGTATTGTTGTATCTCCCCTAGATTTTCAATCCTGACATGAGCTTTTAATTCATCAACAATCCT